TATATATATAGTCATTTAGCTCGCACTTCTGTTACTCCTCCCGTGTGCTTAAGTTATTTCCATTAGTCTTCAAAACCTCAATTTCGGTCAATTGTTACAATGTCAGAGCAGTTGAAATGAATTTTAGTGATATTGACTAATTTTGTGCACTAGATGTTCCTTATTTTTCTTTCACTGTGCGTAAATTTACGTGCACAATGGTTCATAACTGCTTCGATCTGGTCGTGCGGGTGTCGTTTTATCCGGTGGTGGTCATCACGTGATGGCATGTTGGAATTGTGAGCGCGATTGAGTGCTTTGTCCTTCATGCTCTCTATGTCTACTCGTGTGTTTGTTTGCATGAGTGTTTTGGTTTTTCAATTTACAGCGTGTATGCAAACGTAGAGTGCGTGGAACCCCGGGTGTCCAGCCTGCACGGAGTGTATGCTCAGCCTAGCTGCACGTGTTGAGCTATGCGGGTGTCGCGTTTAATTTCACACGATTGGTAGTTTGGGCTTTCAGTGCCGATGGGCTGGTTTGCGTGAATCCTTAACTATCCGTGTAGGTTCCATATTCAGGCACTTTTGTTTAGTGATAATCACGGTCAGTGTCCCGCTGCTTTCGCTTGACTTCTTTTTCAGTCATCTCGAGACAACTGTTTCACATCGAATGTACTTCCACTCCTTCCTATACTTTTCCACTTTTGTCGTATCTGACAGTGGAGTGCTGAAGACGTGCACGTTTATTCGTCTACTACCCTGACAACAAACAGGTTTCACCGGAGGCGCGTGACTGACGTTTATTCTGGAGCTGACCAATGTTTTGTAGCTAACCCCCCCAATGGACAGCAGTAAACAATCTACTTTAGCATTTACGGTGCGAAAAATCCTGGTATACATTCCATTTGATTGCCGAAATTTCCCACAAAGCAGGGTATCCAGCTGTCTATCTTCAACTGCTAGTTACAAGATCTACCAATGGAATATTTCTTTTAGGCTCATTTCCCTCGTTGATGAAGGTCGGCTGCCCGTAGATACTTTTTCTCGACAGTTGATTTCCATATGTTTCCTGGCCTATGCATATTTATTGGTTTTCGCTCCATCGTTCTGTCTTCTGCTTGACCTTTTTCTGTGCCCCATTTACTCTCGATTTTCTGTTGTCTGGGCCGGGCACTGATCTATTTAAGTAGGCCACGTGCTTTTGGAACTGAATGAGGACTGCCGGACGAGGCGTAAACTGATTGGCGATAATGACGGACAGTACTGTTGTTCCACATTTATCACATCCAGTACACAGCTGCTAAAATCTACCTTAAAAAATAGAGCAATGAGACTTCGGTCTACTTGTTAATCATTTTTCCACTGTTCGGATTCCTCTGTCGCCGTGCTGGCTCAGTGGTTAGAGCGCGAATTTACCGACCGGAAGGTCCGTGGTTCGAATCCGACCTCTGCTTCTCGACTTCCCCCGTCTAGGCTTGGGCAACCTGACAGTATCTCAGCCCTCGTGCTTCCTTCTGGTGGCATGGAAGCTAGGCACCGAAAAGGCGCTACAGCTGAACGATTATTTTATTACTGTCCTCGTGATCAAAATTGTGGCGGTGGGATCTATTTTTTTTTATCTGTTCCGAGGTTTGTGGTTGAAACGTAACGGAAAGTTTACTGAATTCCGCTGTGCTTTTGATCAACGAACGATAGTTCGGACCACCTTTCCAATGAACGTTGATTTCAGACGCATTAACCTGACTTCGTTATGTTGGTAACATATACATGTGAGTAACCCCCCTACTCAGTTTACGTGGTACGCTCATGTTATTCTGCAAACCGCCCTGCTCTTTCGCTAACTAATTGTGGCGATTTCGATGTTTTTGTTCACGCTGTATTTTTGGCGATGCTTCGTCTGCAATCCGTCACCTAGTCTCGTTTTCTGTCTTTGTTATACATGAGTATCGTTTGTTTTTGTCGCGTCGCATATTGAATTTGAGAAAAGCAGGATATTTTGGTCAGTTCACGACCGAGATACTATCAGTTTGCTTAAGCCTATACAAGGCCATTCGAGATGCTGTGGTTGGATTCGAACTGCGGACCTTCTGGCCAGTGGGTTCCCGCCCTAAGCGCTTAGCTATCTCGATCGCTGGCCGTGAGATGACATTTTATATTAGATCATTTTTTCCTCCGTTTTTTTGCATTTTGCCTTTCAACTCAGCAGCTTTTTACTCTTATTTGCCTCACAAATCAACTCGGATTGAAAAAGCTGCTGGATGACTACCAACATGGGCCAGTGTGCTGTAGTTTCGCGAATAGCCTGTCGATTTTGGCATGTAACTGATATCAAGTGGTTCGGTTACTAATTCGGAATTCCCCAATTAACTGCGCAAGTTCTGTTCTGCTTGTAAACCCGTCGAAAAGTTGCTCGATTTCAAAGTTACTTCAACGGGTTTATCCTTCCGGTTTCATAGAATCTGTGCCGAAATATCTATAGGTATCTGTTCTCCTCACTCCTTCAAAACCTGTCAATTTTCTCGTACCCACGCTGTCGGGGGCGTTATAAACCCTTGTCATTCCTTGCGTGCCCTTTTCCAATGTCTCGACACAATGCAGATTTATCGATTCATTAAGCTGCATTGCCTATGGAGTTCTTAAGTATGACGGAATTCGTTGTGCAAATCTTCTCTAATGTTCCCATACCCCTCTAATGCCCGTTACCACTATCTGTCTTTCCATTGATTCAGACACCATACTGCGCTTTCATTCTACTTTCCTTCCTTTGATCGGCATCTCAAATTTGGATCCATCCTGCATCAAGAGGACTTTACGAACTGTAACCGTTTCATTGCTTATTCATTTTGTTCATGAGTTCTCAATTGGATCTAACCTTGCTTTATTATCATGTTTTGAATGCCTGCATCGACCAGTTCGCATCTGCCACTCACAGTCTTATACGCGTCACTGTAGAACAGTATTTTTTGCTCCAGGTGATTGCTACTATCATACCAAGCTTGTTTTAGTCATTCTATTTCACCTTCGAAAGTGCATTTCGTATTTTTTTCAGTGCACCGTAAATCTTGTTCAGTTACGCATGATTTTCTGTATCTCTCCTGGTTCTATAGCAAGTGTCTGGTCATGCATTATCTAGCGCTGGAGTAAGCAAAAAATTACCCTTCCTCTGCAAGAATGGCATTTTCCAAGGGCATCATCCTGTGTTGCACTTCGCCATAGTGCTGTTCAGTGTTTTTTCGGCTCCGCCTTGACATTGGTTTTGGACGAACTAATCAATCGTTCTAATTTAGCTGTGCTCGCACGTGATGTTTCCGAATTTTGCCCTAACACGGGACTTGTTGGTTTGCGTTGTAACTGAGTCGCTTTTGCGACATAACCTGCGCGTTAATTGTAGTCGTGTTCCACCGTTCCTCTGCGAACTCAGTGCTGTGTTGAATAGTTACTCAAAAATCACTTGCCCACCCAGCTGGATTTTTTCGTCTTAATGAACAGCTCTTGAGAGTAAATCACGAACCATCTTAACAAAACGGTTTGAAGATGGTTCCATCAGCACACCTGGCTGAGCTACCGATACGTCTACCTCATGTTTATATTTGAGATCTTTTCCGATTTCTGCACTGTTGTCAAACGACGGTCACTTGCTGAACTCGCTGCCATCTCCTGCTTCGAAGCCTACAGGATAAGCTCCAAACCTGACGAAGCCGGTAAGAGGCTACTGTCCAGTCCTGATCTGTTGTAGCACACCATATTACTCCTCTTGCAGGAGTTTTAGGAGTGGATGGATGCCATACATACATAGCATAGCTATACGTACATAAGAATAGCCTTGTATATACGTTTGAATACAAGGTAGCAAAGTAACAGCAACCGAACACATGGAAATCGTGTACGGTGTACACCAAGAAACACGGGATGTCACGATCTGCAGTTGTTATTGCTACCAGAAGCGCACTGACGCATCCCGGTTACGTAGTTCTAGGAAAAGCGTTGGACTCAGAAGTCTGACCCACAGGGCCACAGGTGGATATAGGATCTTGTTCGGGTTTCCCTCGTCCAGTTTCTGATCCAGAAATCTGACCCACGAGGTAGTGCGCTGGAGTATCCTGCCCGTATCCGATGGCCGAACAGCCTGATCTGCTCAGCTGCAGCGGGCTGGTTTAACTCGACGGCACGGCAAACAAGGCATAGATGTTTCGCTTCTGATGCTGCCGCGCATGGCAGATTCACCCAAACCGCATTGAGTTTATGTCGAGACCTGTTTGCTTTTTGGCCGCATTTGCCGATGGTCACGGTGAGCCGTTAGGCGTTCGGATTTGGACTTTGTCCCTGAGTATCATGAATTCGGAGATTCCGCTTATTCTTCCTTTAGTAGTACCTTACTTTTCATATGGGTTTTTGTCTTAAGCTATGTCGAATTCGGTGTTTGAGTATGCAGTAAGATTGATGGAGAGCAGGCTTACGTGATGGGCCTTAAAAAGAACGATACTGCACAACTACTGCATAGAATTTGGTGCCTTTTCTGAGATACCATTAGTCCTGTCTGGTTAACGAAAAAACTCATAGAAAGCACTCGTTGAACTTTCTCGCATGTAGGATGTTATATCAAATAGAGATTGAATAGTAAACAATCAGGACCAAGAAAATCTAACCCTCTTCGTTTTGCAGACTTGAGGGTTAATTGTGAATTAATAAAGCTACATTCCCTTCATCCTGGTTTCGGTGTCTCTGTCCTCTCTACCCACCTACCTAATTAACTTCACTGAAGTTGCGAGCGAACTTCCAAGATTGGGTACTGTAAGTAATTGCATGCAGTTCGACCTGCTCAACAGAAACCACCATCCTCAGTCAGTCAGTGGTTGAACTTTATTGCATACTGTGGTTGTGGTACATATCTATAGCTCTATATTCTTGAGTTGTGGCTTGTCTCCTCCGATTCATGTGTCCACTTATTCGTACATTAAGATAAATTCACTGCGTTTCGTTGCAAAAGAACCCATGTATGGGATGTTTTGCGTTTCACTGACTTGTTCAAATACCGTCATGCCCCCTGTTCCGGGACAATAACCTCAGATTGGATCATTTTTCTTAACAGTCCACACGGGTAGAACTACTGAATTATTGGAATGGTTGATCGAATGCACTCACTACCAATAGTAAAGTTCTCAATGGCGGTTAGGTTTATTACGGTCTCCTCGATTCTACTTTGGAGTTGAATGTATAAATATATGTCGACCTCTTGTTTATCAGATGAGTGCCCTACCAACTGATCTATCGACGTTCGCTTTCCGTCATACTCATGTACTGCTGATTGAACGCACATCAGCTTAATAGAATAGCACTTGATATTCAGTAGTGTCATTAGTGTGCCCTTCGCGTCGCGGTGGGTCGGACATTTTCATCGTTCTGACATTCAAAGGATATTGGTTTAAATTGCATCCCATCAGGCCAATCTGTGGCGACTCAGCTGTGAAGTTCATGCGCATTGGGTTGACGGAGGGCAGTTTCCTCACAAGCTCAGTTGACAGAGCATCTTTCCGGTAAGCAAGGGGTCTGCGGTTCGACTCCGTCACTAGACATGTCTTTTCGTTCTTGCTACGTGTATATGGACTTCCCAGTTTAACATTTATCAAGCCCCCTTCTACTTCCTGATGGTAGAGGTACATGTTTGAAATGTAGCACTGGTGATGCGTCTTTTTTTAATACCGTAACTCAGGTTACATAAAAAACGAAGACTACATTTGATGCTCGTTAGTCCACAACTTGTTTCTTCTTCGTTTCAGATAGTAACAGAAGCAAGACACAACATCACGGAGGATTCCGTTGTTGAGTGCCGCGTATCAAATTTTTTGGGAGAAGAACATGATAAAGCATACATCACAATTCGTCCGCGTAAGTCCTCGGTAGTCCTTTTTTAGCCGTCTATCGGTTGGAATTGGCATACACTTTCTTTGCCTTGTAATCGTCCGCCCTGTTCGTCGCTCAAAGTGAGAATGGTCGCGGGCTTACGACTAGTTTGTTACGGTTACTAGTACTTCAAAGTCTAGGTCACCTGCAGAAAAGTTTGGAAAGCAATCCGTAAATTCATTCTTTGATAGCGTTTCGCTTCTGATAGAAACGTTTTGTCAGATCCACTGCGTTAGCTCTCAGGTTTTAAGTTTCCATATGGTGAAACCTTTATTCTTCTGTTGGGGGTGGGATGACTCATTGGTTAGAGCACGAATTTACGGAACGGAAGGTCCAGGTTTCGAACCCTACCTCTGCTTCTCGACTTCCTCAATCTAGGCTTGGGCAACCTGACACTGTCCCAGCCCTCGTGATTCCTTCTGGTAGCATGGCATCTGGGCGCCGAAAGGGTGTTACAGCTGAACGATTTATATTTATTTTATATTTATATCCCCGTGTTTCGGTCCATTGTGACTGTCATCGGTCGATTATTGTCATCATCAGCCTGCCCCTTACCACTGTGCAACGGTTTGTGTAGCTCGTCAACCAACTAGTTGCCTGCTTAATATTCCAAGACTGCTCCAAAGGAACCTAACAAGAGAGTCTTTGTAGTCTTGCAGACTGCACAGGGGTATGCAAAATTTCGCTTTGTACCACCAAGCGAAACGTCCGGTAGTCAGCTGGCGATGCTGGCACCAAGCCCAAATAATCCTAGGCGGAACAGTGTTATATAATTATGTATCCTCATATTATGGCATTCTACTTGAGCTTTGCACCGTAGACTGTCTCAGCAGCTGGAGTAACCAGTTTGCAACTTGAGCCTGTGGAAATAGGAAAATAAGGACCTAATGCGGAGTCAAATGTATCTACTTCCGTACCTTACTCCCCGCGCTCTTCAGATAGGAAAGTCCCCCTGTACTGTGTGGGTGAGATTCCCGAATCATTGGCTTCGGATAGGTCATCCCAAGGAATCGCTCATACTCGCTCCATTGTGGATCAGATAATTGAGTCACGGGTAAGAACAAAACCCTCACATTCTGCCACTGTCTTTTGGGCCAAACTTTTGAATCAAAGGCCTATAATGATGTAGCTCGAGTAACCCTGTATCGTCGGCCTGCGTGACTGGGAAGCAATACCTGCTCACTCGTCGCCCTCATCGTCAACAATAACACCACTGTCAATTATCGGTGCTTGTGGATCTCGGGCCTTCACATTAGCTGTACTGATAAATTTATCACAAAATCTTTCCGTGTACTCCAAACATTATATGTTGTTATAGTCAACTATTTTCAGAGTCACATGTTGTTTTACTTCCGTGACTTTCTCGTATTACTGTGCGAAACGCACGTTCGTTGACTTCTGATCATGCTGTGAAGATTTCATCGACGTGCAAGAATGTACCGTGCAGGCTGGCGGCTCCATGGCAATCACGTCTCGCAAGGTGAAAAATCTGACGTCTTTTGACATTACTAGATGCTAACGAATGCTGTAAATTTGGAGTACCTATTCTTTAAGAATGTAGACTTAACTCGGACAGTAACAGTGATGTGATCCAGTTAGAAAGGTTTTTGTACTTTCAGAGGCTGATTTCTGTAATTGTGTTAGTTACTCATATGACAAATCTTTGGAAGTTCTACATGAATTCATATCACCAGTAATCAGTTACTCCATGTAAACCACACTTTTAAAATCTGAGATCCTTCGATTTTCCCCGAAAGATCCTCCTGTCATGAGTTAAGACCACACGGATCATCCAAAAGATCCCTTTTTGGTGTCTCTTCATCGGACTTGGACACGTATATAAAAAAGAATAAAGTCGATAAGATGCAAGTGTCATTCAAAATAGCATTTAGTAATCAAAGGTCAACCCGTGGCTGGTCAAAAACTAACAGGGTATCAATCACCAATATTTAACTTCTCGTAGCTCTTCAAATTCGTATATCAAGCTGATCAGTTATTTCGATTTCTCTTCTGGACTTTCCACGAACGCCAAGTATTATTACTCAATCATTGTGATTATGTGAATTTAACATTACATTGACAGTGAGGGCTTACATGATAAAGCAAGGCAAAACTGACGCAAGGAGGTGTCATTTTTATCCCATAAGATAGAGTGGTCTTGTGAAATATTGAAGTACGAAAGTTGAGTAGTTGAGGCTTGAGAGCAGTGGATATTAAAAAGGGAAACTATATGGACCTCTCCTATGCTGCCAACCACAGGTAGACGCTTCAGTTTTCTACTCCCGCCGAATTCTAGCTGCTCAGTTGCTTTACTGTATGTTCCACACTTGCTGGGTGAACGACAGGCCCCATACGTCACGCTGGAGATATTGCGACTTGTGATTGAAGCCAACTCGAGGGACCAGCACACCAACGCCTGGCCTAATGTAAACTGTCGATACGTTTTTTTATTTTTTGCTGGTTGTTTGTTGACGCATGCACTTACCTACCTCGATGGTTTTTAACACCAATCTTACAACTCGTTTGAAAATTGGACGTTGTCCTAGTCACACACACGCAAGCACTAAATTACTTTCTGTCAGTCTTGTTTTGATCGACCGGCACGGTGGACGTAGTTATAAGCCGCTGAGCCCGCTATTCGTTGTTTTTGTCATTCAACTTTAGGTTCCAAAGAATGGGTACTGAAAGACGGGGTCGCCAGTGGGTGAGTCGTTTTATTCAGGGGTTACATTCCTGAGCTTAGTTGATGTTTTTGTAAGTCATGCACTGAGTAATCATTCCGTTTTATAGTAGCACCAACTGGAGACACTTTCAGTCGCATTCGAATAAAAATACGAACTGATAGCAATGCTTGGTTGAACAGAAAATTACCGGTTTACCTTGACGTTATCGCTGCCAACTATTGCATGAAGGTTAGCTGGCTCCACGAAAGTCGAAAATGGCTATTTCTGATGCTCAAGAGTGATGTGGGAATTGTAACCTAGATCCGTGGGCTATACTAAGGACGTTTTGTGATTAACGTTCTCCGCGTCCTTTGTTCGAAACACAATGTCTGGCCTTTAGTCGAACGATTGCAACCTACGAGGGGCAATCTAGACAGAAATTCCACAGAAGCACCATAGTGATCGCTGAACCCAGACATCATACGTCCAGTCCGTCCGAAGTTTCTTCACACGCTTGTTGGGTATCACGAAGGATTTAAATACACCGACTGATTTCCTCTTCCTATCGGGGCGGTGTGGTCGGGTGCGGTCAAATAACAAGTGTGTTTGAGGCCAGGAACATAAACATATGGCATGCTCCATAGGAGTACTTCAACTCAGCTGCTAGAGTTATCACCTGTTTTATGGCATCCCTGAGAAGTGCCTTCGAGTGTCATCCTCCCTTAGTGACCATTGCAAATTGATGAAATTGGAAATGCGCAGTCTTTGTACCCTGACAGCTTCAATCAGTTTTTAATGCGCTATTCTCAACAGCCTGTTCTAAAATGATTGCTAATTTACCTCATTTCTGTTAAATTAATGCGGTAGTTTGTGCTTCACGCAGGCCAGATTAGTAATGATTTCATCTCCTTTGTTGGACGGAGGAAAATCGCCTTCTGGCTATTCTCTTTTTTCCCGTATCTGGTCACGTCTTTCTAGGGTATTGTTCCATATCGGCCTGTTATTGGGGATCAGGTTCGCAATCCTCATTATGGTGTGTACTTTTTCTGTGGCTTTTCCAGCCCTCACTGTCAACCTTATAAACAATCGTTGAATAGATCGTCCATCTGTCTGTCATACCTGAGCGAGGTGGCTGAGTCCTTTGGCGGAAGTCCTTACTTGATCGCACGATACCGTCTCTATGATTCCGATCAGACTGATATGGCGTTAGCCAATCTGTTTAGTGTCTGGGACCAGTTGCTGCTGGACAAACAATTCGGCCCTAACCCAATTACCACAACACCGCATGGAAACATTTCGGAGAACCTGCAGCTGTCCTTCACCTCGTGGCGTTGTGTAGACTGGGCCAAACGTTTGACTTGCACGCTTGCATATCCACGATGTCACAGTCTGGCGAATTTCCCATCGGAATTGAAGCGCCCAAACCAGTTTTATGTGGAGTCCCCCGTTTGTCGGTTAGTTCGTTTCACTTTTGCGCCGTTTTGAGTGGAAATCCTAATTGACCTCAGCTCACCGCATTGTGCTAACTGCAAGTGCATGAAGTTTGTGCCCGGTAAAATGTATCTCTCAGTTCATAGCCATGGTGGTTGCCTTGCACTGTGATATGTTTAGTGGGTTCCTCCCGGACTAGCAAAATACAACATTCGCTCATCAGAACAGCTTAGCTAGCGTTAGTATGCATTCCGCTCAGCCAATGTTCCACTGGAACGGCAACTTATTATCATTTTAGTGGTCGTTCCGCGTGGGTTAATTGGATGAATACAGCTGGAGTTCTTGAATTATGTTTCAGAGAAGGCGTCATAACCAGAATGCACGCAAAATCGATGCTGGATGCTCAAATCGACCATGAGATTTGTAGGCCAGTACTAAGGACAAGGGCTATGTAATAAGATGTGATAAGTAGCATTAACCCTAAAAGATGTAGCCATGGGGCTCATGCACGCGCACTACCTTATATGAACTAAGAGTCTTACGCCCTACCGCAGAATGCGTTGGAATCTTCCCCTTCAGGAACTCTTTCTATCGTATCGAAAATATCCGTAGTACGGGTGTCAAATCGTTCTTCCGACTGGTCACCTGATAAGAACAGTCAGACATTAGATCCGAGTCCGGTCGCAATAATTTTTCCAACCGGAGGTGGCCTGTTTCACAGGCAATTTAGCCGTTTCCCAGGTGAATCCAGTGCACCAGGTAGATATTGTATGGTATCTGTACGAAACCGAAAAGTTTCCTGTCTCAACAAAAGTTTTCTGTTGTTGTGATTGTCGAAACCAGATGAATTTGGACAGTTTGCCATAAACTGTATGACATTTGCTAACGGTAGATACCGGAAGTTCGGGCAAAACTCAAGACGTTTTGCTCGTGCTGACAACTGACGTTTCTTCTCCACGTGGGCGAGACGCTTTTGTCTATTTTTTTCTAGAAGCCGAAGTTTTTGACCTTGGAATTCCTGTAGGATCACATAAATATCTGTTAGAAATATAGATAGTCAATATCTGTCTAGCTATTTCCTTCCGGTATTTTCTTTACCTTCAGTCAAGACTGCCTAGCTGTGACAGGGTTATTCTGTCTGGCTCCACTGGAGGCCGCAATAAACACACCTGCGTTAGCACCCCTGTTACGTGGAACACTCTCTAGTGAGCAAGATGGCGAGGTGACCGGCTGGGACCAACTGCTGGAAGCAGCACAGGCGCAACTTCGATCCCTTCCAAGCTCATTGGCCCAATTTCGTGAAGGACGCTCGGATTTGAATGTGATCAAAATCTGTAACCAAACGCCATCAATAGACACGCTCAACGATTGTACTAAGTTACCTTTGGACAGGCAGTTCCCCGCACCCAGATCCTTCCAACAAACAGCGTTTTCCGTAGAAAACCCTGTTGATCGGTCTACAAGTGAGGAGCTCTCCGTAGATAATTATGTTCATGATACACTTTATTACAGCCTCTTGTGGGAGTTAATAGTCCTCTCTGACTAATACAGGTGGTCGTGCGTTAGTTGGATCTTTGTTTATAAGTCCTACGGAGTGTCTGCTTCTTAGTTCTGGTGGATGATATTTCCAACTTTTAACCTTTTAACATAGCATCCTAGTGGTGTAAAGTTTGATTACCTAATGTAAAGGTCATGCAGTCGACGCAGCAATAAAACGCTCAGCATACGGTCATCCTTTTGAAGGGTGCCTATGGGTAGCCCACGTACTCTCATACACGATGAGTGTGTACACCTTTTTAAATATATAACCTGTTACAACTCCTCATCATCCAACCTCCTGACCTTCCTTAGTTTTTGTTATTTAGGACAACTCTTCCATTCACAACTGTCTGATAAATCTACCGTGTTTTCAGACTGTTTCTCCGACCGGAAAAATACACATTTTTAGGAGTTTCCGGCACGACTATAGATCTTACCCCCGCTATTTCTTTGGCTCTCTTGAATCATCACTTTGGGGGTAAATAGAAGGGAACTAACTCCTGATGTTCAAGTTTCAACTGGAGGTTATCAAACGTACACACGTTTCTTGCGTTTTATTTGACACATTGCTTGCCTAGAACAATGTCAGTTTCGGTTAGAGTAACCCATTTTGGTCGCATTGTGGTATCCCGGAAATCGTCCGTGTGCCATGAAGCAGACATAGACTCGCATCTCTTTATAGTTGGAACACAAAATGTCCCTTGAAATGAGCGTCACAATAGCCAGTATATCTGTTTAAATGACTTCTGGCTAAAGTGATGATCCTAAAGAAAACCACCTGAACATATTGTTTTCTTCAGAAGATAGCCGTTTCAACTTTAGTAGGGTCGTCAACAGTGAAAGTTCTGGAACTGGAGCCACGCAACAACGGTATCGGTGATTCTGACCCCACACATTGGTTCAGTTAAACACCATGCTGTAGCAGCCAAGGGCGCAAATGAGTACTTAATTCTCGCCTTCACCATTTTACACGCTGTCTACGACCGTTGTGTTAAGATGAGTTCACGGGAGAGTGCTTTCATTTATGACTACTGTTCTCCGGTAGGGTCCCGTGTACATACGAAATATCGCCTGAGTCACGGCCGGCAACTTCATACGTCCGTCAAACTCCATGCCTATTCTGCGCGGCTTGATTTGGAGGACCTAGTAAACGCCCAAAACGTTTGACTCGCCCTGCGATGGACTCTCCCTCTTCGCAGTAGCAATTCTTTATACCAACATTAAGACATTGACCTAAGCCTGATTGGCCGGTTGGATTTTGCGTCGCAACGAGGCCCGAATCTCTGTTGATGTCTGCAATGTGGCCTCTGGTTTCCGTCTTGAGGGTTGACGTTCACTTGTTTCAGGAGTGAAAATGCATAGGTCAATCAGTAAACGTAGCCCCGCGTTAGGACCTGTTTGTTGTTTATCGGCATCGTTTTAGCTCTGTGTTGGCGCTACGCACTCACTTTCATTCCCTTCCTGAATAGACTGGCCTTTTAGCCGGTATGCTGAAGTTCACCCAAACAAGTATCGTTTGAGCGCATTATGTAACTTGTGTCCTCTACATTGGTTGTCTCTCCGTAGACGTTTTCACGTCAAGTTCACAGGTTTTTTGTACACTGTCCTGCATGACGTATCACTAGGACTTCTCCGACTTAATTTTGCACCACAGATCTATGGGTACTGTTTTATTTCTGTGCTGATCGGTATTGTGTTTCAATTCTGCCCTCCCCCACCCACAAGGAATATTCCGCTTGTTTTTTAGTATTATTGGTGGTAGCAGTGGTGCGAGTCTTGAATGTACTATCGCTCACTGCGCCCTGAAAGACATTGTTCTGCACTTGCCGCTCGCATTTTGCGCTTGCGACAATGCTGTTCAAAAATGAACGCTAAAGTACTGCTAGTGGTAGTAGAGTTGACGTGCTCAACCATCCCTCATGCTGCGACTGGATAGACGAGACATCAGTCTGGGTGAGCCAAGAATTCAGCAAGTGCAATTAGAGCCGACCACCCTAATGGGTTTGAGCCTACCGGTTAATTTCGTCAATGAACAAAGCGATCCGACCGGCGCCCCTGCAGCTTTCCCAACCAGTGCACTAGAGAGACTCGTAAGGCTCAAGTGTGAAATTGACATTTGCTGCAAGTCGAAATCTGGTTTGGTAGCCCACCGTCGAATTAGCGCTAATGAAGGTGTTAGTACAAACGTAGTCACCCAGCTGTTCTGTGCTAGTCGGTTTCCGATGAAGATTGGACTGAGAAAGCACGGCTGACACTGTAATCCTTCTCAGCGTATGCATATTTGCTCGGCTGTGTGAAGACTTTTAGTATCTCCTGGTCCCAATTAGAGTCACAGTCACTCTTGCGCCTGATCGACAAGTTATTTCGGTCCCATGGTTCGCAAACTGCGCTGTTCGCGAGGACAATATTGGTTCTGGTCGATCGGCTTTCAGTGTCAAAATCAGGTTGCTTATGCTCAACTGAAAAACACCCGGATCAATTGTCATCTAGTAACTCCGACCAAACTGTCGGATAGCGTCACCTTTTCCACCTAGTTCAAACAATCCGTGGATTGCACCGTGACAGTCCATTCATTGATCTTTGCTCGAGGGATGCTACCTTGTACCATGACACTGGTTCTGGTCTCGTCGCTTCCGGACATTGAATGCACACACACGTTTAAACCTGTTTTTCAACGCACCCACCAGCAAGCTTATCTTGTGCCGACCGACCGAAAGCAGACTCGCAGACAGACCTGCGTCGTAGTCCAGACTTTATACCACTTTATACCAAGCAGGAAGATGCAGCGTGTGCTGTGCTCAATAAGTCGTGGAATGAATTATGTAGAGGAAACCACATCCTGCCTTCGGACGCCGAACAATACTGGGTAAAAAGGGATAGCCTACCAAGCCGCGCAGTGTTGCCAGCAGATTGCAATTTGATCGAGTCAATTACAGGGGTGGAAGTGGACTGTGTGATGTGCAATACGTCCCCAGATTTGGACAAAAGCACGCTCAGAATGCTTCTCCGTTTCATTGCGGATGCTGTCACTAGATATCTTGACCTGTTGCTTTTACCTGGGACTTATCCACCCCATTTATGTCGTACCCGGTTGCTCTAGTTTTGAAGGTCCCGAATCCGACATCACGGGACCAACTGAAGTCAGTTTCCGTGTTGTTGTTCCGGTACTTTTATAGAATGCATGTTGACGGCTGTAGCCGTAGACTGCATCTGCCTTCACTTCAGTTTGGATTCCTATATTTAGATAGTTGCTTAGAAGCCATCTTTCTGCTACTTGCTTTTCTGTCACCCGTCAGCGATTGCATCTAACCTCAGTTTGGTCACATCTCATAGCGCTTGATTTGGTCCCCCCACCATTCTGAGATCCACCGGGGCGTTTGCAACAACATCACCCCTAGTTTGGCACACGGTATAGTCCTACGGGAACGCCACGTTATTCATACCTCGCTCGGAGATTGACTGTCATGGGTGACCGAGGCAAACAGATCATTTATATGACCATCAACACCCATAGGGCATAAGCAATGGTGGTTTGTGGGGACAGAAAACCTCTAAAACCTTCGGTTTCTGTCGAACCTTTCCTCTTTGTTGGGGTCATGTAGGTCCAATATGTACCGTGACTCATTTAGGTGCCTCGTTTATTTATTTTAAGAGGCAAAGGAGCCTTTGACCTTTGACAAAAGCTGCTTTAACTGCACAATGAAGTGGGGCGTCCCGTTAAACCGCATCAATCAATGGAGTTCACAGGGAACTATCCAATAGCGAGGCTGGCGCATTCTTGTGTTCGAGCAAAGCCACCGTAACACCCTCAAAAGACTGGATAATTATATCAAGCAGTCTGTTCGTTGCTGTGTACCGAAAGGCACCCCAATAAGCTACATGAATAACGGCAGACAACGTAAGAGACTCGGTATCCTGATACAACCGAGTGCGTATGGGAAAGCTGCAATTTACACAGTGCCGAGTACTACGCGACGCGGTTGGTAATCCTGCATTTCGCACTATTGTTCGAGATATCAGCCTTCCAATTCGGGCCTAAGGTACACACGTTAACAAGGAAGAAGTGATAGCAACTTGGGGACGATAGATTACACAACAGAATTATATTTATGACTTTCTAGGGCTGATCACTTCGTTTCCTTTGAATGGATACCTTGTGTTTCCTTGAACGCTTGTTTTTCCTCGGGCGTTTGTCCGCGGTATCCAGCTCTGGTATAGCCTGCTTATACGAGAGTTAGGAACACCTGATGTGATCATAGTGACTAGACGGCCGTGGAAACTGTCGTCAGTTGGAGGTTTTGATGTATATGCTGGAGTCATGTTGGATCAAGAATGGTGCTGGATGAGCTCGTCACAAGCTGGTTGCAAGCGGACTCAGAAAAGTCCCCGTCTTCTGGTATACTTTGTCTTTTCTAGAAGTTGGGAGCACCGGCTTCAACGTCATATCAAGCCAGAACTGATTGCATTCGGGTCCGTCGAGTTGCGGTGATAGTTGTGAGTGTTGTCTAGGATTGGAATGCCTCTGTGGAATGAGAACAAGCAGAAGTATGGTGATAAGGAAGGCTCTTTTGTTGTTATCCCAGCCCTACATGCCTTCAAATTTGGTACTGACTTTTGGTTTACGATTGGATGTTCATTTCATATCGGAGTGTGTCCTTTTTTCAATCCAATAAGACTGATACTGTACTGGGATTACTAAGGGCACAATCGGTGACCTGTGTTTGCCGACGGTTTTTGGTCATCTACGTAAGTGCATTTTTATGCGCGACCTTGAGTGTTCTCACCAGTGACTTTCACGCTATATGACGGGCACCTGATGCCCAGTGTGTAAATCTTGACTGTGTTAACGCTTAATGATGACCACTTGATCAAAAGCGATTGAGCACACTTATTTGTGACCCAACTGCAATTCATTCCGGGACGCTATCGCTCTGTATAGGAACTGGCTTCGTTGAAGTGCAATACTTCTACTCGCTAACTTGTGTGCAACTCTTGAAATCAAAATGGTGTTCGAATACGGCTTCGGTTACGTTCACTGTGATCCATCACCTTGAGGTTATTGTCAACCCTCCACCAAAAAGCTTAGCAGAGTTTGGGGTTTCTCATTATTATGCTGAAACATCTTACTTTTGGAAATAAGTGCAGTCGTTTTTATTGCTCATGAAATGGAGATAGCCTTGGTCTTTTAATGATTCAAGGAAGATGTCTGATGAGTGACAAATTGCATCTTCGAGCCTTAGTTCAGGAAAACTAGGATGAAGTGCTAAGTGGATAATTTTTCAGTAATTTTGTACGTAGGATAGGTTTGGTCAATACATCCTTCCGTAAATCTCCGTACATTCTAGTTTCCTCGGTCTCACAACCAAGGTCCAACAACACATCTGTTTGGTGAAAGTTCCGTACAAGTAAGGTCTTCTGAACCTGCTTGCTCTTCGTCTGAGGCATGGCCTCTCATAACCAAGAAAATTCAACGGAAATCTCTAATTCTTCACCTTCAAGATGCAGAATCTTCCTTCAGGATTTCTGATTACCTTATCCTCTTTTTTTAGCTTCATATTGCGGAGCGTGACATTGTTGATCGATTTCCGTATCCTGGTGGCTCCATAACCCGCGATTGTAATGTACTGTACGTGTGAGCAAAGCGTGAACAACATGTGCCAACTTGTATCATTTGTGATATCAAAAACTATTTTCACTGAAGCTCATGTGTACTGTATACAATGTAACTATAAGAAAAGTGTTACCATATGGTTGCCCAACTTGGCCCTTCCCAACTGAAGACCTCAGAGGCCTTTGAATGTTTGATCGCCGGTGGCTTCGTAGAACAGAAGTGAAATGGCTGCACCATGTTCACAACGAAGTCATGCGTAAGCGGGCGCTTGTTAACGAAGCGGAATCTCTGGTGCAAATAACATTTATCATCATAAGATAGTTTGGAAACGTGATACGCTGGCCCACGCACTCCCCCAAAGAAGATGCCCTTTTCTCTCCAACTCATGTTGGCGAAAGACTCGAACAATGCAGTCTATCACCTGGTTGCGCTGAACGAAAGTAACTTCAGTCAAGCTGGGTGCTGAGACTTTCACGCCTTTTTAGTCTGGGTCCATGTACTTCTGTTTGGGAACCATACACTACATGACACGTAGCTGGCTCTATCGGTGAGCATGCTGCCATTTTTCACCCGGTTTACCTAGCTCTGGCTTCTTTCGAGAAAGGTTCGCGGAGGATACTAGGTCAATCCTGCTAATAGAGCTTTGCTCCAACGTCATGCTCACACTCGTTTATTTAATCACCCCTAAGGATATGGGGCTTTTCCCACTAGGTTTGCAGTTTCTCTTTTTTCTTTACTATGGCTTTCTTTTCTGGTGGTTGTATGGCAATATCGACCACCAATGTATGGTCGTCGGTAAGAACGATAACATTTTTAGAACATTCCACTGTCTCTTGGTTTTGTAGTAATTTGTTCAGCAACGGCAAATTACGACAGCGACTGTCCCCATTGGTGTGAGGCTTTGAATTCTAGTCACGTTGTCAAATTTATCCCGGGGAATGGTAAAACCACAAATTCTCTGCTTCGTTTAGAAGAAATCATTCGACATTGCGTTTTTAAACAAGTTCAATGTATTTTCGGAGTTATCAGTTTTAATCTCGTCTGTTGCAATACGAACACTCCACTGTATTTATGCTCTACATATTTTGCTGCTTGGACCATTTCTTCAGAACAATGCATTGCTGGTAGCGGACTTAACTACCGAGGGACTGCTACGAATTCGGCGTGCCTTGCTTGGGATGCTGTTGTTGGTCAACCTTCTGTGTCCGACAACGGGCAAATTTCGACGTGGCCTGGTTTATTCGCACTTACGCCACAATCATTTCCTTCGAATTTGGACGACGAAGCCAGGTCGGCGTCGGTTTGCCGCAACCCAGCCGGTTTGGCTCCATATCCATTCTGCCTCACTTTATTGTCACCGAATGGAAGCACATCTAAGGATGTCACTCCAACTTGGAGAGTGGCACTTTGTACTGGCATACCGCAGTGCTCACCAACAAATGCCTCTGGTCCGCTCAATACAGTGACCGTAGCCCCAGATGCCGTTGCCACTGCATTACTCAGCGCAACTCAAATACAGGTGGGAATCTAGTGTTTAATTAGCATTTATTCTTCTGATTTTCTAACAGACTTATTTTTCTCGATGGAACTAAGACCCTCGACAGAATTAATGATTTCTACGCAGGGTCCATAGTCTTACGTCGATGCAATGTTTCACGTGCTTCTGTGCATTCACAGGATACTAAGTGGTACGGTGGGTGATGGATTATCCTCAGAAGTCTTCGTGGTACCTCTGGCTTCCTAGTGTGAAGCTAGCAGGGAAGACTTTCATCTGTGACAGAATTAACCGATAATAACTAACAGCAGTTCAAGAGTTACACGATAGCTACTTCCCCCCTCTTTGTTTCTCGGCTTCCTTGTTCAACCCAATACCGGTTTCGCCTTTTTTTGGGTTCATCGAGTAGGCACAGACCTCGGTTGTTCGTCAACCTTATATTCTACCTGAATTGTTTGCCGAGTTGTTTGCAGTTGATGAACAATACTCATTTGCGAACAACGTTTTTGTTAAAGAGTACAGTATGCAAATGAGTGTGTTTCGCCAGCTGTTGCAGTAGATCATAAGATTGACGAGAACTCCGCCTACCTAATGATCTTCAAGAAGAGTAAAACCAGTAGGTGGCTCGAAGAGTTTCCAAAAACCTTATCTGAAGACAGCTTCTTCTCTCCTCCCCTTCTCCAAAGATTCTGGTCTTTGTTACTTCTTTTCTATAATTTCTTATAATCTTCGAAATTTCAGGACTCTTAATGATGCTAAGCGGTTATGCACTAATCACACTATAACGTAATAAAGCATTTTTTTTTGATGGGACACTGTACTCAAATTTTCGGAAGACACAGAGCTCACATCCTTTTTTGGCCGACTCAGGCAGGTGCAATCTCCAAGTTTCCGCCAACCTACTGTTCTACCTGTTTTATAATTAATTGTTTAATGTTTTAAAGGCTGGTGTCCCTCATTCATTGCTTGATCTCTAACTGTAAACCCTCCCTTTTTATCTGTCACTCTTGTGAGTAACAAAAAATTGCTCTCCACTGTTGGCATACGTGCGATACCTCCATAAACGCCTTGCAGAAAGGTTGATATAAGATTACTTGGAAAAGCACTCACCGCGGTATCGACCTGTGCTCGCACCGGACCATGGGCAGTAGACATGTTTTTCAACCTAATCACAAGTCCGATAGGACACCGCATCTCGCTAACCTTGAGCCTGTTTGAACATGCATGCGGTCATCACATTGGCTTGTGGTCTCAGCGGTTACCTGGAGCGGAATGCCAAATTAGGGTCAGACCTGCGTGACCTGCTACTTGTGTACTGATGGTTGGAACTATGTTCTGTGCCCCTCATGAATGCATCTTTATTGATATTATGCATCTGATGGGTGCGTTTCCTTAGCCTTTGGTTCCAATCACGTGAGAGCATGAGCGAAAACTGCAGTGAGAATGTGGTCAGATTTTTGAAAGCCCAGCTACGCGCACGCTCATCTTTACTAATACCTGGCATACGGTGTTTATGTACATGACTGTTAGTCGATCAGTTTGTGTATAACTGAACACTTCGATTTTGGATGTTATTTCCCGTCAAACCAGCTTATGACAATCGACTATCTACTGATGAATGGAGTACTTGCTAGTCATCGATCCTTGTGGGGAACCTGACAATTCACCAGTAGTCTTGATCGTCTAGGATGGTCCACAAATAGTTGGACCGAGAATCACTCCTGCCTCCTGGACTGTCTACATGACTTACTCAGGTATTCAGCCAGCAAGCTGCCATGGATCAATCACGCCGAAGAACTTTCAAAGCGCTTATGTCTCACATAGCAGCTTTCAGTCAAATTCAGTTGAATGTATTGTCAGATGTTGTATGATTTGAGCACTTCAACCTAGACACAATTTGGTCACACCGCCCCTTTGCGTCCTAAATAATAATGCACTGAAAAATTGGGATCAGTTTTAATTGACTGAATCTGCATCTGCTGAAAAAGTTCCATTAAATGGAAGGAGGGTTCAGCTTACTGTGCAATGAATATGTATATAAATATATAATACTTTGGAAGACGATTGCAGCTCGGTCTCAACCAGGAGCCTGGGGATTGAAAAGCTAACAATAGATCGGTTCCGGTGAAAGGATCTATGGCGATGCGCAGAACAACCGTGACGCAGAGCAACTCTACTACCCTTAGCCGCGTATTTTCAAGAAATATCATTCACTTTCGGAAGTATATTCAGGGCTTGTCAGGACAACGTGTGGGACATTCTCGTTATACTGTCACTCATTTTCTCCAGCCATGGGTTCGCGCAAATAGTTTTGCTGCTAAGGCGCGTCATACTGTCATCCCGTCGATATTCATAACCTGTTCTCTAACTGGGACTTATTCTGTAGCACAGACTACTTGATTTATTGCATCCGAACCTGCAACATTTTCGTAGTGCTAAATTTTACTCGTTTCGACCAGCAGTCAAACTAGGGCTTACTAGTTTCCCGCTTTAACGATCTACGCAATTGACTACACTCGTTGAAACATGTGACGCTAATGATGTGTATGGCTGAAGCAAAGTTCCAGTGCCGCGAAGACATTCTCCTGATATGAACTTTATTCATTTTAATTCTCACGACCATTAGTTGTCACTTGTTGTTGAAAACTGTTCACTGTCTCGTTTTTATTTTCAGGTGATTGTTGCATGTGTCCTCGTCACGTGTTTGTTCTGCTTCATCTTGATCGTCTATGTCGTGTGGCGTACAAATCGTTGTGGCATCCGTTCGCTGTCGAGCTCGAGCCTATGTCTTTCTGCTTTGGAGTTTACGGATTTCGATTCAGGAAAGGGCAAGTCACAAGTAGATACGGAAACAACAGCTGACAAACCGCCCCGTATGTGTCACCGGATTTCCGATAGCCTCTCTGAGCAGATGTACGTGCAGCACAGGCTGCTGTGGATCAAACGACGCCGTAAATTACGCCATCTAAGCGGTCCGTTTCAGTGCATACTAGGTTGTTGGTATGTGACTGTCGATTGTTTAACATGTAAAAGAAAACCTGAACCTCACCCTGCTGTGGTTGTCGTTAGTCCTTCTGGTGAGCAAACCATACGCCCATGCAGTTCCCCCAGGCCGTCCACATTAGACGGTCGTTTCAAATCCCACAAACCGGGTCATGGATGGTGTCCACTTTTCAGGCGAATATTAACCATCAAACGTCATAACGACTGGAAGACCAACAATCACACCGACAGCGCAAAAGCTTGTTCGAGGATTCGCCGCTTGGGTGTCCCACTTCAAAACGGAGAAGATGATGAGTTCGAGGAAAATACTCTAGGTTTACAGCTGCATAAATCGGTGGCCTATGTCGCCAACGCAACGAGCTCATCTCGTAAGCAATCTGGGACGACCACTTTATCGCAGGGTCCCTGTATCAACTGTGGTACAGTCGAACAGCTTTCGTGTAATTTGTGTAACGCATGCCAGACTGGGCTCCCCGCAGTGGAGGCAGCCGGTTGGGCTTCCGATCCTCGCTCGAACCAGTCACAATTGTGCACAAGTGCTGAGCTTATTCCGCTCACTTGCGGTGGACAGGACCCCGGATGTTCACTGACAGAATCCTCTCTGCGTGCAATTACTTCTGGTCCTGCCGACCTAGGATGGAATGTGACGCTGGAGAAACTTTTCAACATGGCCTCCATGACACACTTGTTGCACCCAAAGTGAGCCCTTCTGTTCTTAATGCCCACAGTTTCGACCTCAAGGAGACGTAATTTATTGATGTTACACTACGATGGCAAGTTTGACTTGCTGTTTCCTTCACATTGCACTCCCAACAGAATAAGTACGCTGAAATGCTAGATAGGGTGGCTCTGATTGTCGTAGACTGGATAGGACTCACTCTCTCCGACGGCCATCACACTTTTTCATGGTGGCTCGAGAGATAAGTTAGTGGTTGAGGCGCGAACTTTCTGACCGGAAGATATATGGTTCAAACCCAACCCCTACATTTCGACTCCTGTCTGGGCTTTGACAGCCTACCAGTATAAAAGCCCTCGTGCTTCCTCCTGGTGGCATGGTGGCTAGACACTAAGGGTGAACGTTCTTCTAGGACCACTGAGCCCTTGACTCTGGGAACAGTCCAGTAGGTGAATCCTACCAGTCCTTACTACACATTTTGCGTTCGAACCAGACGTTCCTGAAAGGGGTCACCGGATAGCAATCTACTCACGAACCTGATCTCATCCGCAGGCACTTTTCTCTAGATAACTAGTTGACTTATTTGTACGATATGAGGCGACCTTTATTCTTAGACTTTTTCGGCCATGACGAAGATGCCCCACCGTGCGGACCATCCCCTCAGCATTAACCGTTCTGTTCTGAGTGGCCCGTTTCATGAAACCATTATATCATATCTTGATGGTTAAGTTCCCACTGGTTTGATTTGTTTAAGGGTTTTGTGTTTTTTTGCTAACCCAATGAGACCACACTTTTGATATGAACTGCCGTCGTTCCACATAGAAGCGGTAGGTGCTGTTTTTTCTGTTCACACAGTACCGCAGAATGTTGTGAATGGTGGCCTAGAACTGCGCACTTCTTGCTTGTGTGATTGGTGAAATTGTTTCAGCCAAACAACAGTGTTCATAACTTTGACCCTGGAAAAAAGCATACACTCGATATTTCAAGCTGTTAGTCTTAGTTCACAATAATAATCCGTTCGCCTGCAAAATAATAATTGTTGCAGTTTCGCAACGAGATATTTTAACTCTTACAATATGGGGCATGCCAGCTGATGTCACCGACCGAGTGAACTTTATTTCCTTTAACCCGGAGCGACTGATCTGATTTGGCGCAAACTACTTTGAGGATCTCCATACTTTCTCCGGTTTTTGCATCCCTTCTGAGTGATCTTCGATGAAGGCTTCCTTTGGGCTACTTATCCGTAAGTGTTACTCTTCTTATTTTGGTGGTCAGGTTGAAACAAGTATGCTATCCTCGAAACAAACTGATCGAACTCCAGCGCTTAGCCAAACGGGCTTTTGGCTGGATTATCCTGGCGAATGCACCAAACTTACACACTCTGGTTCGCCGACATCGCTTGCTGAGTGTGACTTCTGCAGAGCAACTGGGGCTTGGTGTGGCCTCTGACAGGAATAATGCTGACCAGGGATCTGCAGGTAGCCAGTATTATTTGTTGTCGGTTCCCTCTTCAATAAATCTATCTTCATGAGCGTGCTTTGAGGGTTAGGAGTAGCATGCAAACACACTTACAGTACTTGGAAGTTCACAGGCAACAAATTTTCCCAGTACATTTATACTAATGTACAGATAACTGGCATTACATTAGACGGTCAGTCAGTGTACTTAAAGTTAAAAAAACAGCCTAGTCCTTGTCATTGACTCAGCAGGTATACCCACATCACGATAGGATCAGTGTTATTAAATGAAAGCGCACAAGCCTGTTCAATGTCTACTTCCCACTCAATCGGTTCTTAGTTTTGCACCATAGCTCTGGAGCTTTGGACCCGCGAACCCAGCTTCACTCCTCGTTTGTGGTACCCTGACTTGCCGAACCCAAGCTTTGGACCATCCATATATCACGCGGTTTGCGTGAATCGTATGACTGTTTGAGTCCAAGGCTTGAGTAGATGTTTTTCGGCACAATGTTCAATTCTTCTCTCACAGCCTAAGATGTATTGGTGTCCAAGTGAACTGGCGGATACTGGCTTCGATCAATTCGGACAGCATACGTATGCCTTGAGTCGCAGTTCCGTTGCGCTTCGTCGGATGGCCTCCTTCAATGGCCTCAGAGTGAGAAACCTTTAGATAAGTGCGGTCCTTTGGTGTAGTCATTTTCTTCGTAGCTTCTGAGATGGTTCCGAAAATGGTAAGTCGATCCTAAAACAACCGAATGCTTTGTGGACCTTCTATGGGGCCGACGTGATATCCGCTCTCAAAGGCATAGTCTTTACATGCAGAAAATGTATAATTATCAGCATCTGAGCACCGTAGACCCGCAACCATTACCAGGATTGCATAGAAACGTTTTACCAGAAATACTAATCACAAGAGGAATCATTTAAAAATTGCTTACCACTCATACAGTTGATAGGGTTCTCCCACTTAGGCCATCTTTCTCATTCCATAGCCCTGCCACTCCCGAACTGCAGATCGCCAAAATGAATAATTTCGGCGACAGTGATCTTGTTGGGTTATTATCTCGGTTGCATTTGTTTATTCTTTTCCTTCCTACCTTATGTCGTTGCTCCAAAACTGAGTAGATTCTCATACAGAGGATGCTCTCTATGAGAACTACTTGAGTTGACCCAGTCAATCAGTTAAAGCCCTGTAGTACAGATTTACATGAAAATCTTTCCACCTTGGCTCAACTATACGACTACCCGACGTTGTTCCAACTTGCTGCAGCCACGTATATAGTGTCCAAGCGAACTTTGTGTTTTTAGCGTGATACTCCGTGTCTGTCTTCCACTTTCAAGATTCTACATCCGAGGAGTTCGCGCAAAACCCGTTGGTTGTTATCAAGATGCTAGCAAACGACGCAAGTCTAGAGACCGAGGCAAACTTCCTACGAGAAGCCGAAGTCCTTATTGAACTTTCACATAAAAATATAATCCAGCTTTTAGGTGAGTTGTTTTTCATTCGCGCGTTTCATTTGCTCTGTCGATGTTCTGTTTCTCATTAGACCTTTGGGCTCTTTGTTGGAATCATTTTGTAATTTCTCTGTGCGCTGTTGTCATATCTCATCCAATCTGGCAAAACTGATCCCCAGTGCTCAGAATGGACCATGTATATCTATTACTTTGAAGTTTGTGTCGGATCTGGAGGCTGAAGAGCCACCAGCCCGTCAAGATCTTCCTCAGAAATGACCAAATGGTGGGTTGCATCGCCTATTCGGCCCGCAACCAGGTGCCTAGCTCTGCTGCTGCCTGCCGTTGCTTGCCTATCATTGATAGGCATATCATACAGAGTAAACAGCTTTCGATCAAATACGTCTTTTGTCAGTTCCCTGTCAGAGATAACCACTTGTAGTTGTGCTTCCAGAGTGGGTGACAGTGTACTTTGAGCTGTCAGATTGATTTAGTTACGGATCGTTTTGGTCCAATTTCCGAGACATGTATATGTTACTCACTGAAACTTCTTAACTCGGTGTCACTCACACATTAGTTCACTTAAATGTCCTCTTACCACTTTCTCCCGCCACTCTTGCATTGGATGAACTGTAAAAACAAACATTTTTTTTTAAAAAAAGAACGTTTATCATTATTGGAATCTTTCTAGGGGGGGGGGACGAGATGGCTCAGTGGTTCGAGAGCAAATTCACTGACTTGAAGGTCCGTGGTTCGATTCCTGTCTAGGCTTGGGCAAACTGGCACTATCCCAGCCCTCGTGCTTCCTTCTGGTGGTATGGCTGCTAGGCACGCAACTCGACTCGATCCCTTCTAGTTTCCGTCTGCCAGTTGAGTGTCAATTTTCGTTTTTCGCCAACGAGCTCATTGATTCTAGTGTGACGTCTTCAGATTTCCACCCTGAAATCCCACCTACCTTCAGGACTGCTGAGGTTTTTCGTGAAAAACGCCTCTGACGTGAAGCGTACTAACTTTCTACAGCACTCCTGTCACTTGGTACCTCTCCTCATCTACTAGGACTGTAAGGCTGTACACATCAGCTCACCTTCGATATATGGAGACCCTTAGTGCGCTCCAGTCCACCGCAAAGGCATGGTTGGATGCTGTTTTCTTGCCAATGGGGTGCAGTAGCTAAACATTCCGAGTCAGAAGTAAATTAAAACATGTATGAGCCGAAGTTACTGGTGTTCTCCGTAGGAGAAGGGTTATTGGGGAGCATTATAAAGGTGTTTGCATCGAATGCTACTCAACCAGTCATCCGTGTAATGCGGCCCAATGTCAAGTACAAGGACTGTCGGCAATCCTTCGTGGCCGAAGGCCTTTTTGAGTCAGAGACTAGGGGCATGGTCCCCGAACAAAACCATGCATCCTTCCACTGCCTTGTGGGTCAGACTTTCGAGTCAAAGTTTCAAGGTGGGATACCCCCTTCCTCGACCTGGGCAAACAGGAATTGTCGTTTACCTGCATAGTTTTGTGTCCACTGATGTCCCTACCCAACCCCTTCCCAGCACACAAGCAAACGTCACTGGGCCACTTGACTCAATTATCTGATCGAAGGGCCCTATGCTCCTTGCTGCCTGGTAACAACAAACAAAAGAATACCCTTCTAAATCCACGAGATCCTTTCTATTTAAGAGCTTTTAACGTGTATATTCTATGTCGAATCGGCAAACAAACAATGCTCATCGGGAACTTATACTGCCTAAAATTGATGCATGCTGTTTCCGAAGCACGCATACAACACCCACGCGTGGTTATGCATCTCAGAACGTCAAGGACGAACTCAGCTCTTTAACAGTTCTCCCTTCGCGTGACCGGTGATCCGGGAGCGATGACTGGTGGAGTACATGCCACGGAAGTTGCACTCATCCCTAGAACTGAACACGGTTTGCTTGATTGGATCCCACTGAACAGTCGTCTTCGCGCCGTCCGGTTGTCCAGCTCAGTCAAGCTCAATGCCTCTCGAACTGAAAAACGGTGCTTGTTTGTAGTATCGGCTCACCTTCCAACGGACTGTAGTTCCGACCCTGAGAAGGTTACTTTCTATCGGGGGCTATCCGGCCTCAGTCATCGAGCAACGAAGCACTGAAATTGTGATCCTTGCGGGCGATAATAATTCCCAAGACGGTCGTCTGAGCTACATGGAATCGCATCTGGGCGGTCGATTCGGATTGGATGCTTGTTGCACAGACAACGGAGAGCGACTCTTCCAATTTCTCGCCAGTCCGAACTTTCAGCATAAACGTTCACATCGCGTAACCTAGTGGCCACGAACTGCAAATCAACCGTGGGTCTAGTTAGATCACGTGACCGTCACCCACCGCTGGAGGGCCACAATTCAAGACCGCCGTTCCTTCCGAGGCATACCACTTGATTCCGATCATAACATAATGCGTGCACGCCTGATAGTTCGTTTTCCCTCAGGCTCTTGCAAGTCAGCAACAAGCATGCCAGGCCACCATCTTCATGGAACTACCGATGGCCCAACAACTCTCCACAGCAAACTAATTCTGTACTGGTGACAGGAAGAAGGCGTTCATTGTGGAGTTATTTATTAGAAAACACCAACTGAACAGTTTCAGACTTGGACAGGGAAGCACAACTCCAACATCCATCTTCTTTATAAAAGCTGAATATCCGTCTTCTTGAACGCGTCTTCCTGAGCTTTCCTAGATATTCATTGACTATCGCGCAAATGTAAACGAATGCTACAATGCAATTCCACAAATTCTGCAATAAATCTCACTTTTCAATAGACGTGAATTGGAGTTACGAGAAAACATATTACTCGCGTCCCTCATCAGTAGTATCCACCGTTATCGGTGGTAAACGTGTGGATGAAGGATTGCAAAATATGTAGGAATATATGCTAGCGGCGTTCCCTGATGTCTGTCTAAATTCCCCGATACATTCAAATGACCAGTGAATTTCGTCAAGATTGCTAGTTATGACTAATGTCGGGAAGTCCGTACCAACAGGCAACGAGTACGATAGCTTACGCAAATCACTCAAACGTCAAATAGCGAAAAGCCTAAGGAAAGACAGAGCTCCGGTGGACATCGAAAGCTGGGAGATGCAGAAGGCTTTTTCTACCGGAAGCAGCCGTACCCTATGTCGACTGACACAGTCAACTGGCCCTAGAAAAACAACGGCCAGTGAAACGATAAATGAATGCAAGAGAACTGGACGGTCTGTATCCAGCCCCGTTCAAAGGAGGCGAAAAATCCCTGATGACCCATCCAAATAAACTTATTGGCGTGATATGGAATGAAGAGAAAGTGCTTCTGTCAGCGCCACCTCTCATCGAGAAGATTTACTCGCTCCGTGCTCCATGTTTCGAATCGTACCGAGCAATCTTGAGTGTCTAGCACAAATTAATGTCCTGGGGATTCAGTCTTTGGAGGTATCGTAGCAAATAATGCTGCACTAGGTTTAAAATTGAGTACGAATAAGTACGATCAATCAAACCAGAACCCTGAATTCAGGATTGGAGATTAGTATTGGCCTAGATTGTGCGGATCAAATCTACTGTGACCACATACGATGTACGATCTTTCAGAATCAGCAGTCTGCAAAAATCCAGATTTCTTTCTAGTTATCAGGTGACATATATGCAAAACTTTAAATCGATCCAACAGTTGCCTTTGATTTGCATAGATTTTTCAATGTAATTACCAGGATTTCTTAGTGGTCGTGGTGGAATACATTGCATGTTTGGGTACGCTTTTTATCACACGATTTATCTGCAACACTTCAAATTCGCACAACAGCTGTTTCAGTTTCCACACATTCCTCTCTGTAATTAACGAAATGCATAAGTGCCTTGTGGGAAAAGGGATGTGTGACACTTTTTCACATACCGATGTATCCTTTGAACACAGAATGCGTGGTTAAGGGAATGACTGTCTTTTTACGTGTAATTCTTTAGTATATCCATATGAACGCTTCGTCGACCTGTTCCTTAGCAGTCGTGTACGAGTTTATTTGTCGTGTTTCACTGTAGTTGCTCGTTAACTAACGTATTCCAGGAACATGTCTTGTTTGTTTAAGGTGGTTTTAACTGGACACTCAGTTGGGTCTTTCAATTCTGATATTGTTCAAGTGAATATGCTGCACCCAGACAGCTTCATGTTTCATTCGAGCGGCGTTCAGTACGTCGACGCATTTTCCTCAAATAGAATTATTCAAAGGGTTGATGCTCAACCTTAATAGTAGTGTCATATTGAGAAAAATGATGTTCACTACTATCTATGAAGTGGTTCGTGAGACCGCCTCGTGTTTGGTTGGGTTTATCCACTAGATTACCTCCCCTATAATACATCTTGTTCCCAACGATTCGGATTTCACACCATATAGACAAAAACATTCACGTTGTGATGCCACAATGTGGCTAGTGTTGTGTGCCTCTCAGATCCAATCAATTTTCCGAAATTTTTGAAGACAACGATTCATCTCTGATCAGTAATATTTATGAAGGAATGCATAAGTATTGTGGAAACATTTTGGGGTTTTGCGGGATAGGTATGTTTGCTCATAGCCACACCACTCTCGTTTGAACGGCCGTGTTCCGTGGCGTAAATACGCCAGAACAGAACACGGCCGTTCAAACGAGAGTGGTGTGGCTATTGTGGAAACACCGTATTTCCACTGGTGAATTAGTGTTTAATTCGGCTCCTAATGGATAGCTGATGAACAGCTGTACCACTGCTCTAGGTACCTCAGTGGTTGAGGCGTAAACCTGGAGGTCCGTGGTTCGTACTCAAACCGGGTACTTCGGTTGCTCCTATATAGGCTTAGAAAACTTGATGGTACCTCACTCCTCGTGCTCCCTTCATCTAGAATGCCAGCTATACACCGAAACTGGGTTGCAACTAAACGCTTATTATCTGCGTTACTTTTTGTTAGAACTGCTCCAATTATACTGGTTTGGTCACGCCCATTCGAAGTCCGTCCTTCTGGACGGGCCATGATACTGTTCAGAAGTATCAAAGATCTGACTGCGTGTCGTGACTATCACATAAAGCCTAAACGTGTGAGAAGCTAAAAGTTCGCCAAGTTGATGTTTGGGACGTTCGTGTGATCGGTCTACAAAAACGGACATATTCTTCTATTCCCCCAATTATCTGCAATTTGACTTGATTCGTTTTCAACGCTTCACTTTTTACCACTTTTTGTCCTGTTGTCGAATGATCGTTACGCTTATAATTAATTCGTACATGGGACCAGTGATTGGAAATTCAAACTGATGCTAACAGAACAGTCCACTATGCTTCCAGGATGAATAACTTTTGTGAAAGCAGCTGAATATTCGTTCATTCTTTCAATTCTCAGCAGCCATGCCACCCCGTGGATGCACGAGCGCTGAGGTAGTGCTATGCTGCCCAAGCCTAGACGGTAGTAGTCGAGATGACGGCATCCGGTTCATACCGCAACCCCTTGGTCAGTAAGCCCACGTCTGGATCACTGAGCTACTGCGAGTTGGCATTCATTACACGATCCCCTTGACAGAATGGATGTTTATGAGGGTTTCCAAAACCAATCAAGGCCATGCTGAAAAACATTTTCACATAGAAATCCGGAATCTCATTATTTATAGGGCTACAGACATTTTGACTACATTTTTCCTCTCCACTTATTTTAGGGCATTGTATTTGCGTACCTAAAAGCTTGGCTTTTATCAGAAGCATTTGGGTTAAAAAAGTATATCCGTTCTGAATCAATTGGAAAATGTTTGGGACCGATTGGGAAGTCATCGTTTCAGAGGGGTCTGGTAAACAATCGGTGGATTTATTGCTGGGCAACATTCTGGTTACTGTTTACTTTGCGGCTCTAACTCTCCTACTGGTTGCTACCGTGCAACCCATATTGATATTGCGGACGAGTGTCCTTCAGCCAATTATTTTGTGTTCTGTTTTTATTTCTAGGTGTTTGTCTTCCTTCATCGTTTCGAGGGGTCTGGTAAACAATCGGTGGATTTATTGCTGGGCAACATTCTGGTTACTGTTTACTTTGCGGCTCTAACTCTCCTACTGGTTGCTACCGTGCAACCCATATTGATATTGCGGACGAGTGTCCTTCAGCCAATTATTTTGTGTTCTGTTTTTATTTCTAGGTGTTTGTCTTCCTTTGAAACCGCTTTCGTTGCTCCTGGAATATATGCCTTTTGGAGATTTGACCACTTTTCTTAAACACTACGAACAGTCCAACGGTGACAGTCGGATATTTCCACAACACATGACCCCGACTCTTTTGAGTGCTATGAATGGTGAGGTCATCTCTCGTACTCATAATCGGGGTGAGATGACTCGCCCAACTTCAGCAGATCTGCGTGCCATGCATAAACAGACTTGGCTTCCTCCAATTAAACTGACATCCCTGAACCTTTTGGAAATGGCTTTGGATGCCTGCGACGCAATGGTCTACCTGAGTGATAATTACTATGTTCACAGGTTTGTCTTCTTCCTTCATGGCATATTTTATGCCGTGTTTTTCATGGCTGCGACTAACCTCTCTCTTCATTCTATTTCTGTTAGCTGTTGCTTCATTTTTGGTTACCATCGCCAGTCATTTATTTACCTTGGAGAATACTCGACAAAGCTAGTTTCCCCACAGTGTTTGAACACAATACAAACAGTTAATTTTTGTCCTCGTATGCATCCGGGGCGAGATGGCTCAAGTGGTTAGAGCGCGAATTTACTGACCGGAAGGTCCGTGGTTCGAACCCGACCACTGTCCCTCGATTTCCCCTGTCTAGGTTTGGGCAACCTGACAGTATCCCAGCCCTCGTGCTTCCTTCGGGTGGCATGGCAGCTGGGCACCGAATGGGCGCTACAGCTGAACGATTTCTTTTTCGTATGCATCCAAAAGCCTACTTTGTTGAAGTTTGCTATGTATTTGTACGGAATTTGTTGTTGGTCCCGGTTAATAGCCACATTTTTGTCTTCCGTAGAGATGTCGCCACTCGAAGCTTTTTGGTAGGAAACAAGATGATCGTCAAACTTGCCGACTTCTCCATGTGCCGCCCAGTACAGCCTGGGGTCGATTACGTTGCCGTTCAGGGCGTGTTTTTACCGGTCAAGTGGCTCCCCCTTGAGTCAATACTGGAAGGCTTGTTCCAGGTGGACACAGACGTTTGGTCATTTGGCGTATTTCTGTGGGAATTGTTCACCTACGCTTCCGAGCCGTATCCGGACTTAAGCCACGAACAAGTGAGTGGGGGGGACGGCTTCCATTCGGTTTTTTTTACTTGACACCGTCTTTCTCTTTCATATCAGTAAGGAGTGCCAGAGGTTAAGTGTCAGTTCAAGACATATGCAGACTCATATCACTTGACCTGATGTGGTCGCCCTTCTCCTCCTCGGGTGATCTGTTCCACAAGTTAACATCGCTAGCTTAGATACCCGTGCCTTCAGTGTACCTTGCTCAACTCTTCTCAGGAAACCTAGAGAGTTGCCCTCTGGATTCGAAAGGTGTGCGTTACTTGTGTCTCCTAATAAAGATAAACCTGATGTTTACTATTTCTTTTTTTTCAGTAAACACACACTTAGCCGGGTGTGCTGTATGAAACCATTAAATGTTAACTGTAAAATATTCCTATTACTCACATGTCAAGTATGGTAAAGCACGAGGGAAATTCAGTCGATTCCTATGGCTTTTCTATAAGAAGTCGTCACCGGACAGCAAATGAAATAATGATCTCTTCTATTGAGAAGAGTAGCTTAATGACATTTGTAAGTGCAATTCAAAAATGCCTCTACATGTGGCTCACTGATATCCAACTAAGAGAAACGTCGGGTAGAATACTTTGGGAAACAAATCACTCTGAATACGGAGCTTCTTCCAAATTTAGGAGTACTTGAGTACACATCCTACTCAGGCGTCACTGAGATTGTGGCTCCCAGTACCTTCCCTTCGTTCTGTTCGAGCACGATGGTGAATAGTTCACTCAGTGCCATCCCAATTTATTCGCGTTCATCTGTTTACCACCGACATTCTCGGACAACCGGTAAGCCCACGTATTCAGAATCTCTGCTGTCAATGAATGTGGTGACCATAAGTGCCAGTCTGAATTCTGGTTCCGCCCTCACTGGCTCTACGTCATTCCTTGGCGACGCATGATACCTTAACTATTGGGCGACACGCGATTTTTCAAGGTGTTAGAGTTTGCATTGATCACATGTGCAGATGATCCATGGTCTCATGGTTCCTACACGTTCAATTCCGCCCATCGATCAATTCTTTTGACTACGTTTGCTTACAGATGGGTGTCCCGAAAGTTTTCGAACATGATGCGGCCATTATATCCGATATCTTTGTCCCGGAGGGTCTCGAAAATCCCGGTGTTTAAATCTTCGCTAGTGAGAACCTTGTCGAGTTGTAGTGTGCCGGCGGTGTCGTCCAGGTCTTTTGAGACGAAAACAAAACATGTCATTTAGTAAATTAACCATGGTTATACCCCCCTTTGACGCGCGCTTTGTACCCACAAAGCACATCGTCATGTAGCTATGAATATGCCCATCATCCCCATGAGTTCGTGAAAAATTTCATGTACAACGGTTATTGCATGAAATTCGATGGAAGTGTATCGGTTGAAGTCAGTACATGCATCAATGATGTTAATTTGCCTCAATTCTATCGTCAAAGGATACATTAGTAGGTATCAGAGGTTGCGTACATCAGACTACTGTGTTGTTTGGTTACTCCACAATAACTTAATTAAGGGCAAATTAGTTGCTCTCCGTATGCATTCCTCCAACAACTGGAGGGATACGATTGATCAAGGTGGAACCGTGTTACTGGTGATAGATGTTGAATAGGTCCGAAAGACCAAATAATTGGGCCGAGTCCAGTACTGCTGTGTTTACGACCGGCTGTAGATGCAGTCAATAGTACACGAGAACCAAAACCAGCTCAGTTTTGAGTGAATGTAATATATTCCTCTTAATATCGAGCATCTTTAGCTTTCAGTATCAAGGTAGACCGTAGGTGGTGAAGATTATCCTATCCGTTTAATTGCGTCCGTGTAGAGTGGTCTCAGTTGGTAGAAAGTTAGTCAAGCACGTAAAAAGTTGAAAAGGAACACCCCGTATGCATCAATAGATGTTCCGATCCTGGCATTACTCCTATATCACTGATGGTTATGAACTAATCATTGCAGTGAAGCAAATTTATATAACAGACTAATAAGTGCGGGAATGCTGGTTGTTAAAAAATTTATACAATCAGAACAACGAATTCCGTTGTCGAATCTGAGTTTCAAAGTTTTCCCTTATCTTGGTCGCGATCCCGAAGTCTCAACAACTAGGAACTTCGTATATTGCGTTGACAGAGCGCAGGGCATTAAATTTACGAAAGACTAATAAGACTGCGACCAGCTGTAAGTCATACTTCACCGACAGGTTAACAGCCATACGGTTCAGTTAACATTAGGACAATAATTATGGTTTATAGGTGTTGGAGATCCGGACTTAACCACAAAATTCCTTGGAGGCATCCTAATACAAAGTCACTCATGTACATTAGGAATTTGTATGAATTCACCAAAAGTAGCTGGTTTTCCCTTGGATCAGAGGTATTGCGGGTTGCAAAGAGGTCTTTTCCCTTAACGAACTTGAAGGTGTAATACAACACCGCAGTTCTGCTCGATATTCCGGATTTGTTTTGTTGTTTCTCATCAGGTGCCTACTGCAGACTTCATTGACAAATAAATCTACTTATAAAAATTCCACGTAAAAGACGTGCTTACTAGTTTATCACGGTAATGTCAGCAAAACGGAAAGCTGTTTCTGCTTACACGGATTCGGCTTCTGTTTACGAGTAGCACTGACCTCAGCAACTCTGATGTTTGCTGTGTTTGACACGACAGCCGTTTGGTGGATAAGATGTTTGTTCTGTCAGATGACGAGTGTGACCCTCTCTGACTTCGGTGCTGTATCAGTGCATCCGATTAGTTGAGTTGTCTCCGTATTCTCCATGATACGTGCTCCCAACCCTCAAACGTGGTAGCCGCTCTGGTTTGCCTAGCCAGATGGACGTGACTCGACTGATGATGCTGGATTTGGCAAACGGTGTTTACGGAACTTTGACTTGTGGTTCTGGAGCGCAGTTTGTCTTTTGAACAGAAACTGGCCTGGCTACGGTACAAGTCCTTTGCATCACGTTTTTTTCGGACGACGTTATATTATCTCGGTGATCGGTAGATTAATGCAAATGTCAAGTTTGAAAACAGCGATACCGTACTCCAGCTGGAGTGTCTTTACACTGGGTTTCTTAGTGCATACCTCGGGATTAGCGCGTGAACCGAGATTGTCTAAAAGAACTGAGTTCTGTTTGAATTGTGTCATCAATGCAGGTTTGTTCGCCTCGGCGGCACCTCTGTCGCGTCGGCACGAACCTGGTGAAATGCAGGTATTGTCCTGCCAACTACCTAAACAGCACACGAGTCGTTGAGAGCACAAACAAACGCGAAAAGGTGCACCGATAGAACGCTCATACCTAACAGGATCACACCCCATACCACCGACCCTCTCAGCTGCTCGTCATTTGATTAAGAACAGGTATCGCATCTACCTAACGACAACATTTGATGTTCAACACGGCAAACAACAGTTTTGGAAATCGCTGAATTTGCTGCTGTTCGCAAACGGAACCCATCTGTGTTAGCAGAAGGGTTTGGTTTTATTGGTAATACAGAGGTGGACTGCTGATTGAGCCTTTGCCATGGTGACTTTTCGTTCCATTTCTATTTATTATTGAAGCCTGCGGTACGTGTCTGACGAGAATCAACGAAATAAATTCAAAGTACGAAGTAAAACTGCACTATTACGTTCCACGTTTAGAGCGCGAATTAGTTTTGATATTAACTCGATGCATACGTGAGGTGACGCTGTATAAGTAGGAAAGTGGTTTGTACTGGCTGGCGACATTAAAATAGCGGTCGCAATTTTCCGTGGATGAGGTAATTGTACGCATAAAAATACGCATGAATCTCGGCCGGTGCTTTAACTCTCGTTTACTCCCAAAGGCGAGCTGTTTTGCTTTGGTTAGCATCTGTATGGAAGACTTTGAATATGTATTTTAGCTGGATTCGGGTAGGTAGGCTTGTTCGCTGTCATCAAATATGAGACGGTACACCAGTACTACCAGTATCTCAACACATTGAATCCACTTCGAACTCATGACACTTGCTGGCCTGTATGACGCGCGACAGTAATAGGAAACTAAAAACCACCGTTTGTCAGAAACGTGTAGTTTTAAATTATCCATCAGACCATCCTGGGGCAAATGTGCTACTATCATTTCGCCAATTCATAGTCCGTTAAGGAAGCTATCCACGGAATAACTTCACCAACCAGTAGCACGCAATATAGGTAATGAAAGAACGGCTGGGTAACTACACACCAGAATTGTTGAGCGTAGGTGAAGGTGAAACGTAGATGAACATCGGGTGCTGATTAAGGATCCGACAATAGCAAGGCTCCCACTATATGCTGGAAACAAGATCGGTGTGGAAAAGCGTGGAAGTTTCGGTGAGAAGAAGGACTCGCACCACAGCCTTCAGTGGCCGAGGAGTTGGAATTGCAAAGTATTATAGTGAATGGAGTAGAGGAGAGCTTGAGGAGCTACTACGTCGCAGTGTGCGGTACCGATTAAGAGAAGTCAACAGAAGTTGCTTGAACCTGAGTTGCGGAGCTCGCTAAAACCCATTTAATTTATCCCACTCCCTAACCAGATTGTCGCAACGCACAAACACGGGACTTTTCGGGCGACACTTGAAACGATTACCCATATTAGCTGACACAGACTTTCAGCCTACTCTCAACACTGATTTAGTGCTAACTAAATATCTCTGATTGGTTCTGTCGGTATTCAAACTCTACTCTCTCCCTCAGCTTACTCACTCGATACGGTGAATCTTTTTGCGTCAAAGGCAAAGCGTAGCCCACTAACAAACTTGTTCAATTTTTGCCGCATCCATGAAACGATTACTTCCGCATCTGTTTGAAGCTTTCTCCAACCATTTGCTACTACTTAAAATGAATGAGGATGCACCGAGCCCCTCTGCGAAATAAATTCTTTCAATGGCAGACACTGAACAGCCATCTTGTTTTGTTGGATGCAGGTTATAAGTGAAAATTGTTTTGAAAAGGCAGTCTGAATGTTCCCTTCTAAGTCTCTCTACCCGGGAAGCAATCAGGCACTCGAGCCCACCGACTGTCATCTGTTGGCGGATTATTGTCACATATATATTAGCTGTTGTGCCCACTGAGCTGTGAAGTTTGGTTACCAACATTTCGTCACCAACCGGAGTAACTGTGCAGTAAGCGATGCGTCGGTTTGTAGGCGTTGAGCGATGAACTTGTGCTTTTTGACCCAAGAGAGGGTGAACTGCGGTTGCGATTGTTCGTTTAGGTACTCGGCTCCATTTATTAGACGGTTGGCTAGCTCCCTAATCAGTTAACATCCGGATGATCTCTGAGTCCGACCCCTCCGACTCACCGCAAGTAACCCTTGACCTATGGGTCCCACGATTGTGATCTGAGTTGTCCTTCTCATCGTGAGCCCCGTTTGTGTTGTTCGATTAATTTGCTGATCTTCTGCTTCTAGTGGTACGTAGGTTTGGTCAATTCTTATGTGCCGGTTGGTTGAGCTCTTCTAGTATCATTCCTCTATGAATTCCCTTGCTTGTGTTTCTGTCTGTCAGATCCTCTAAGTTTCTAAATTGAATTTGCGTCCTTAGTTTTTGTGTCTATTGAAACCATGGGTTATTGTGCCCTCTGATTGCTGTATTCTGTTCCTTCATCCATGTAGAAAGTTTTCCTCTTCTTTTCACAGTATATTATTAAGCAGAATTTCTCCCGGCATTCTTATCCATCTTCAGCTTAGGTTTTGAAGTCAACTTCCTCCGTTTATCGATTGCTTGTGATTGCACTGATCGTGCTGTTAATGCAGCTGCGTTTTCGGTGTACTGTGGGACGAGCCGTTTGTTCATCTCTGAGTCTCCTTATCTTCATGCTTTACTTGGAGAAATTTCGCAGGTTCCCATCCGTTGTTTTGAACTACTCGGTATAGAAGCAACATATCAGCTTCGTCGGACGACTCGAGGGAAACCGACCATCAGACGGACGGATCAGTTGATAACAATGGTAATCGTGAAACCCGCAGGTAAATGGTCATCTGGGAGAAGTCAGATTCGCAACTCATCCAAACGCCGACCGGTTTAGGGAGTTGGCCAACGATTCAACAAGTGGGGCCGAGCATCCCAACGGCCAGTCGTAATCACAAGTCACGTCTTCTGGTTAAGCAAAACGTATAGGCACAAACAAAATATTGTTCAACGCCTACAGGTTCATGCACTGATGTCAGCTTGGTTGGCGTCGAAATGTTTGCAACCAAATTATCAGGCCCAGTGAACACAACAATAGTCATCCGTAACATATGTTGATTTGAAAATTTCACAAACATTAACGACTCTCCTAACAATTGCCTCTCAGTTATGATCGATATTATCTATTTTCCATTTATCTATCCCTCCGACTTTCAAGTGGATCTTAAGCACGAACGGGATTGTTTCTGCTTCTCGAAGTCTTTTTAAGGAGATTATTTCATGAAGTTAACTTCGTAAGCCGCATTGCTTCGTTCTTTTTGGTTGTGTCACCGGGTTTATTGGTTGTAACAAACTCCAGTTTATAGACCTGAAAGGATCTTTCCTCCTTTGATGTTTAAATTGAGTTCCATTTTAACCGTCTGTCATGTATAGGCTCCAAAGTTTCACCGATTGTCTGATGTGCATATTTTCGCAGTCTGTTTTAAACTTGTTTCCTAAATAGGCAAAGTTGGGTCCACAGCTATTTTTCATCAAATATTCTCAGGCTCGCCCTTTGCTATTAGTCTCAATTACACAGACGTATCTATTGCTGCTTTATTCTGGCAATCTGAGATTGCAAGCGGTGTGTCGGACAAATTTGTTGGAACAAATAACGTATGGTTTTGTACGCATTATGGGTCAATCCTCCAGTAAATTTATGTTGATTCCAGAAAGGGTAACATCCTTGCGTTTTCCGTTGCTTGTCTCTCAGAAGTCTACCGAAAGTGTACTGTGAACACAGTACTGGATAGGCTTTCCTGATCAGTTTTCACTATACTCATTGCTTGTACGTTCTAGTTCATTTTGTTACTTCGTTTGCGCATCCATCTGTTTAGGTCATCACTTTCTTGGAAAATGGTGGTCGACTCTCCTGTCCTGTCAGTTGTCCGGATACCGTGTACAATCTTATGCTATCATGCTGGGACTCTCAAAGGACCCAGCGCCCGACATTCCCGAATATACGGTGTCGACTTCACGGAATCCTCACGGAACTGTGCAATCCCAGTTGACGGAGACTGTTCGGATATAGCTGCCATTTCGATCTCGGTAATCTAGCATTCCATCCGCCGGTTCTACTTGATAAGCTAGTGTCGCATTCTGAACCCAGTTACACCGTTTTCCTCAAGCCCAGTGCATGCCCTTTGCGAGACATCAAGTTTTCAGTTTGTCCTTCTTGGAAATTTCCCGGTGTTCTTTGGACGACAAAACACTGTTTCATCCCCCACCCCACGTCACAAACTTGAAAACCCTGTACAGTATAATCTTCCATCCTGTTCATCTACATTGAATATTCGGACCAGCTTAGGTTTCTACTCAATACATATTTTTTGGCATTTTTTCTGCATGTGCCTCAGCGTTTCATGATAAGCCTCTGCGGTAATTTGGTCAAAATGCAAATCCCTGAACGTTTGAGGAGTCTTGTGTTTGACTACAAATAACGCACTTTTCATTCCTGGTCTCTGAGTCTCATGTGATCCCCAGGAGGTTCGTCGTTACAGCAGCACTGGAGTTCCCACAGTAGAAGGCCGACAGCGGAACCCTGTTCTGCCTTGTACAGCTCAACTCACTGATCCATTTCAAGTGAAGCTTGTCTCTTATTCAGTGGGAAAACGGTTTGAGAATCTCAAGGGTGAACGAATTTTTGGATCAGCGGAGAAATTACCTTTCACCAGCTATTTGCAAGTAAACGCATCTACCTGACCGAATTCTGTTTTCTGTATTGACGCAGCTCAGCCTACTCAGGAATAACTTCAGGGTATGTAGTGAGCAGTATTCAAAACCACGGCATAGGACATCATTTTTATACCTTACAGTGACTGCAGAGTATACGGTCTAAACTTTAGTGGTGGGTGCACCTCCGAGGGGACTGATGTGTGCTGAACGAAACTGTACGTCATGCGGCTGTGCTCTTACTTCGTGTTCAAATGAACGCTGTTTCGAAACGTGGGAATCGCAATAGGCTGCTGGTGCGTAGATGCAGTCAAAAATCGGACGGTCGCTTAGTGATTCTGTGTACTGTACGGAGATTTTCTATACTGCTTATTCAAAATAGTCGTATCACTTTGATGTTGCGTATTCTGTCCTGATGTTGGTAGGGCAGCCATCATGCAGCATGCAATCCTCGCTCCTGTATCATGCATTCGGTGGTCTTATTACTACATAAATCTAGGAGGCATGAGGGCGACCACAGTCTATCCTAAGCCTCTGGTCCCGAAGCTTGATCTTCGGATGATGTAATTTCGCCTACGACTGCTGATGAGCACATCGTTACGTCTGTTCCCAAACCTTCCAATGGGGGGCAGGCACCCTTGTTAGTCAGGACTCTTTACGGTACCAAGATAGTTTAAGGAACTGTGTCATATGCACATCGTTGTTCAGTGGGTCAAAGAGATTAACTGTCGCCATCATTCAATTATGGAAACATGAAAATCATTCGAAAAAACTTTCCTACCAACTTAAAAGACCGTCAGAACGTCTTCATTGCTTTTTCGCTCGAGGAAAATATTTTTTCGATTGCTGTTTAGGACGTCACCGTTCCGTTTTTTTCTAATTTGCATGAAACGTGATGCGATAGGAACCCCTGCAACGCTTAAGTTGCGTGGAGCTCAAATATATTCAGTGCAGTCACTACAAGAATGTTGTTTTAACCGTGGTCAGGCGTATGTGCTGTTTAGTGACGATGTTGCTTACTTCGCTGGGTTACACCTGCGGCTTTGTGCATATCTACAAAAGAACGTCAGAGGGAGTTTACCGCGTTGTTGAGCCCTTCTTGTTCTCGAATATATATATATATATATATAATGATCAGAGATTCCGTTAATATGCATGGTAACTGGGGGGCAGTCTACTGTGCTCACGCAGTCGCATCACCCAAAATATTTAATATCCCTACCAAACAACAATCTATAAGTAGGTCAGAGCAAGAATAGACTTCACCCGACGAATGAAAGTTCCATCTGAGAATTCGTTGCTCGGTAGGCAGTCAGCACATTTGACCACGTGATGTGGATCCCGTAATTGAAAGATGAGCGGTGCTATATCTTGTCTGCAAGTCAGTCACACTGCTGATCAGCTGCTTGTGGCCGAACGGTTGATAGTTCAAACTTGTAGCCGAGAGGTCGCTGGTTCGAGACTCTGGGGCTTAGTGAGACTCGCACTGCTGACGATGTCTGTCATTTACGTAATGTTTCTTTGTTGAAAGTTAACTATTCCCCGCAAGACAAACACTGCCAGTTCACCTACCTGAATCGAGGTTTACGGGGAACTAATCGGACTTGGCTACCAGCTGATCCCATGGCAACGATCTGACGGGTCGGAAATTATGAACTGGACCAAGCTTGCTAATCGACGTTGACTTGGTTATCAAGGATATAGCTCAGGTAACTTGAACTAACAGCTGTATGAGTATAGGTAAATGCAAAATCAGAAGCTCATGTGAACTGAGTTTCAGAAGTGATCGGAGGCAAAATCAAAGCTGACCAGGGCATTGTTATATCCTTCGGTGTTTCCAAGTCATCATTTGAAATGCATGTCGTTCTTTATTACTCCGAGCACCGTTTCAGATTCGAGCGACGGTCTTGTTCTTCACCCCATCCTAAAAATCGGGTTTTGGTCCCTCTCTTCGGTCACAACTCTACCACTCTTAGTATCCTCCACTCGCTTTTTTATGCACCTTACTACCCATTTGACTTTATTATTATGGATACTATTATTTTTTTCATTCATCAGATAAGTTTGAAAAACCATGACCTTAGTTTCAACTTTTGCAGGAGTCTGGCACTTTTAACAGAGGATTGGCGAACTGCCGTCTGTGCGGCCATGAGGAACTTTGGAGCACAGCACATCTCAGTTCTCGAACGAAAGTGTATCATTAGAAACGTCTGTGCAGTGTTGGGCAAATAGCTCAGTACAACCACGACCTGCTAAATCTATCCGTACTTGCGGGTGCTTAGATCTTAGGAGTATCGGACTCGTCAGGCAGCAGCTTACCATAAACCACTATGAATGCATCAGTCAACTACCCAGTTTCTCAAGTTTCTAATCAACGTATGCCAACAGTACAACTCCGATCGCTCATCAACACCTACCCATTAGTGCCTTACTACGAGCTGACGTTATCGGTGGCCATCCGTCTACTGGTTTGCCACTTGACTATCCATCCTCACCTAAATGGCGCGGCAACGGCACCCACATAAAGCATTGGAGACGTACGGCTGTCCGCCGCAATCTGATGAACTGGCAAACCAGCAACTGATTAAGCAAGCCCCTCGTTGCTGTTGCCCACCGTTAAGTTATTGCGCTTAGGTTACCTGATGTCTCAACAGACTGTTGCATGTTCGCCCACAGATTTCATTCTGCATCAGGGCTAATACCACAGTTTGCCCCGCGCAAACAACCCATGGTTCATCTACTGTGCACAGGCGTCTAGAGGTCAACCGTTGTTGACCGACAAGTTCGTCTCGGACGCCAATCGGCCAGGATTAGTGGTAATCCACTAATCCTATTATCATTAATCATGATGACATTTTGGTACAGCTGGGTTCGTTATAAAATACTGGTCCCGGCAAGCCCACCCACCTTTGGCACAGTCTATTTTTTACATTTGCAGCATCTGCTAAGCACAAAAACATCTTCACATGAAGAGTCACTTCTAACTGAGACAGTCGACACCAGACATTTACTGTAAACTACAAAAAGCCGCCGGAGTATGGCATCATATCATAGTCCAGACAGTTGTTTTAGAAAAATAGCAAACTTTTTTGGTTCAGCTTCGTTTTTTTAAGCTTCTGCGTCGCAACCGCCTGATACTCATTCGTCCGCATATGCTTATAGTGATTTCCGGGTTTTTTTTTATCATTCGAGTACTTCATTTGGCTATCCCACCCTTTTTCCGTTGTGGATGATGCGCTGAACTGACTAATGAAGATGCCAACCGTGTGTAGGCCTCTAATTATGTGAGCTTCTCTCTTCCTCTTTGTTTCTTGTGTTCTATTTCGTGGTCTGATATACGGTGTCCTCGTGTTTCTCCCTCTGGTTTCGTCTTCAAATGCAACTAAAATTATATTACCCTGATGCGGAAAATGTATGATACGCTTTATAAGGGAAGTATCCTTGTCGTAGAAGCTTTCTGATGTCGCCGGGTATTTCTTTCCAAGATCAGAGTAATGTATTAATTTGAAGTCTGCACACAGCACAGAAGTATCGATTGAACATCCATGATAATGCTGCCTGTACCTGTGTATACACGCAATTTCGAGCTATGAAAACAATCGTTATAAGATGGAAACCCAATATCGATTCCGCTCGTTTGAGATGATCGTTGTGTCTTAACATAGCCCCTCCGTATGGAGACAACCATCTTTACTTCTACGCAACAGTAAAAGCGTCTCAAAAGCAAGCTCAACGTAGAATTTGAGAGATCACACTGAAATAGCTAAAAGGCTTCACACACAAATATTTATGAGGTACCGATTGGTGACATGTGGATGCCCATGATCGTGAGCAGTTTCTACAATGACCAAGGCGAGCTTTTCTAGAGCCGATACGAACCACTATCGAAATGGACTGGTGCTACGAACGAATGTGATGAGTGTCGGAAACCCTCAGTGTACGTATTCAGGATGAAGCAAGCTGATCAGTCGAAAAACAAGAAACTGGTGTTGTTAGTAGTTGTCATGACAGCATTTACAGGCGCTTTGAAATTGCGCCTACTTTCCGATAGACTGAGCAAGTGAATGCAGTTGAATGGTTCTCACTGAGACAATGTCTACGCCAAATAGGTGCGTTTTCTGCTTTCGTGTTCATGCAAGAGGTCATGATGTACCAAGTAGCAGATATCAAAGCACTCCAAAGTCACAATAAACGCAAGTATCGCAACACACCTGTTTGGATTAGTCAGCTACTGCACTCGTTCTGTTTCCAGGGTGCTGGTGGTTAGTACACCTATGTTCCCTGCAAAAGTTTATCTTAGCTATAGTCTACTTGCAGAGTTTTGACCGCACCCTTACAGTTAGAGCACGCAAAAAGTGAAACAAGCGCCGATCAATGTTTCACCGCCGAAGCTTCTCAAGGTAAGCAGAATCAAAAGTAGCTTCCAAATAAAGAAAAACGATCAATGTGGGATGTTTGAGGGAGGGGCGCTGTTCAAACATTTGTCTCAAAGTAAAGATATGGTCGGGGCATCCTCGACCAGGGCAAAACCCAGCGTGATTCTCACGAATCTGTCTTTCTCGGCAATCCGCTAACCAGCGAAAAGAGATGCCAGAGAGCACCTTAGATGCGATGAACACCAGGATGATGCCACGAGTGTTTTCACAAGACGTCCTCGTATACTTTCTGAAAACATAGCGGTCAAGGAGCTCCATTCGGCTGGTGTTATATTTTCGTTCCAAATCTTCCGTAGTATGGGTGTCAGACTTGACCAGGACCCCACCAACTTTGAAGAGCGCGGGGTCAGAGGCCTTATTAAACTTCATGATTGATATCTCACGCCTGATTTCGATTGCTGCTATCAGGTTGATGTCGATGTTCCATTCGGATCCCTTGGGTTCTTCTTTTATTGAAGGAGACCAGGTAAACTGTTCAAGACGACGAGTGAG